GTCCTGTTACCACATTAATCCTAACCATTATAATTTGCCACAAAAGTAAAAGTTTCATTTGAAAAAGGGCTTTTAATAGTCATTTTAAATATTATAATTAAACATAAGGAGAATAGCTTGCAAAATGGCTGTGAAGTTTATTTCAAAACAGTCACCAGAGACAACCTTCACAATTTGACAAAGTCAATCTCTTGAATTGGTTACTATTAGTGATTGTAATGAATGTTTAGGGCAACTGCCAGCCACAATGGTCATTAATAGGGTATCAAATTTTTGATCAGGTCATAAATAGGGTAGAGAAAACAGCAGAATTTGGTCAAATGAGGTAAGGGATTTGGGCAGCAGGCTGCACACCCCCACCCATTTTTTTTTTCTGGGAATACCCTCCCCCACCTCCCGGGCCTCGCTAATTCACTATGGAGATTGATTTACCATTATCAACTGCCGCGAAAAAACTTACTGGTAGTTGATAAATAGTTCTGTGTTTCACTTGCCTTCTGACACAGCCCAGCAGTTTCTTTGGGAAGTAACACTTCGTGATGCTTTCCTGATGGGTTAGGCTAGACATTATTATTCCAGTTAAAGTTTTGAATAATTTTTGGCATGTATTCTAATTTTGACTGTCAAGCTCTTCATTTGAAGAGTGGAAGTTTAGATCTGAGAATGAAATCACATTTTCATCATTGAATAGTCCATTGTTGATTTTTTTAAAATTCTAACATGACTTCAGTTTTCTAACCAAAAACTGTTGTAAACTTTTTAAGACTCCTTTGTCTGGTAATTCCCACTGGTACTGACCGAGAGCCTGGAACAGACTGGGTAATTCCCTTGAGAGACTTGACAGAAAGGAAACATAACAAAATTCCGAAGTTTGGCAGAAATCTTTGCTGTAATATTAGAACTGTTACATATACTTTGCACGCGTAGCGAGCCTATAAAAGTTTTCAGAAGGACTAGTATCTAGTTAGGAGGACGCTGGGAGTTGTTGGGGAGGGGTGGTTACTGCGAAGGACTCGAACTTGTGGCAGGGATTTCTGTGAAGAAAGCGAAGAATCAGATAGTTCGTAAGTTTTTAGTGACCGAAAAGATGGCCGAGAACGTGATCGAAGAAGCTCACCGTAGAGCAAATGAAGCAGAAGTGCAATCCGAGCAAACAGCTGAAGGAGGCGAAGTAGGAACAGCAACGGCTGCAGATGGAAAAAGGGACGCTGTTGCAGATGAGGAGAAAGAACAAGGCCAGCCGCCGAAGAAGAAGTCGAAGAAAAACCCCGCAAAGAAGGCTGCAAACGCAGAGTCCGCGAGTGCTGGCCAAGATAAATATCCTTTTGCGCGATCAAGAGGTATAAGGATCTTCAGTGATCGGGAAATCGAGTCCCAGGACGCAGAGATGACAAAAGAATACTGGCGTTTTTGGAACGACACCGCCGAAGAGCTGTGTAGCGATCGAGCTTACAACGATTGGGGAAAACGGGATCTAAAGCTTTACATTGATGCTGCCTGGATTATACATAAGACTTACTTGCAAGAACTGCGCGAAAGAGAGTTGGCAGGCTTGTTGAAAGAGCTGCAAGAGAAATACGGTTATGCTGAGTTGCCAGCGAAACTGAAAAGCCAAGATCAAGCAGTCTCGACCGCCCTGTCAAAGGTACATGTAAATACAAAAATTAACCTTAAGTTTATATCTTTTACACATTTAAATAAGGCTGGAAATTTCATTTAGTCCTTGGGTACTTATTGACCGTTGTTGCTGTAAGACTTTGGTGCGACAGAGGTTATCGTGAATGTTTATACAAACTTACCACATCCCCCTGGGAAAATGTTTTACACGCTAGTTCTTGACCTTGGGGTTACCAGGGATTTTTGTTATTTCCTTGTGCTACAGTGTAATATGGCAAATTGTCCTCTACAAAATAAGTTACGAAACCAACAGCTTAATTACCAACGCAGGCAAATGAAGGACTATTATGCACGCATTTGGAAAAGCATAAGTATATATAATTATTTGCCCAAAATATTTCTGGTTATGTTTATGGTACATGTATCAGTCAAGAGGTTTTATTTAAGCTTAAAAAGATAAAATGATATTATATTTGTATGCCTTGGGTACTGTCATTTCATCAATGCCTGCACACTGAACCATTAGGTATATTAACATCCTAGAGGGGAATTTTAGCAAACCATAAAATTCTGATCATAAGCCTCCTGAAAACTTGTTTCACAACATGGCCAGTGGCAAAAATTCTGTTTTCTTTATTGTTTATTATGAGACCTTGTAATAGAATCGGTGTATTTCCCAGCCCAGGCTGAATTTTAAACCTTTTCATCTTGCAGTTTCTGAAGAACTTTTACAGCATTGTCAGATTTTGAACACAAGCCATGTTGCAATTGACAACATTCGGTGATCTGTTCCAGTGGGTCCCCGGCACATCTGCGATGGATCGCCAACATACTCAAATTTGTGCAAAATGAAAATCAAATTGGCGCTTGCAATTTTCACCATTTCACCTGTAAATATGGATCGAATCGTCCTACTGTAGTACGTTGCATCCGCAGATGATGTTCACATAAAATTTTTCATCGCCGACAACCGCCGACAACCACTGGCTCGCTTGCGAAGTTGAACTTGGCTCAACTTCGTGGTCAAGCTGACGGTGAATGCCTGGGATAGATTATGATTCTGCGATAAATGTTTACATATGCCGTAACGATGTCCCAGGCAGTGCCGGCAGCTATGTCCCAGGTATGCTGGCGGCATATAAGAACCAGGCAAGATGATTTCCAGTCCATATTGCACACTCCCAAGGGATTGAACATGTTTTTGTTTTGATTCATGTAACCTTTTGCAACTTCTTACATGACATAAATTCAAAAACATGTTATTCACCATTCACTACTATGGACAGGGGCGGGTCCAGGATTTTTCTCAGGAGGGGGTTTCACCACTAAGGAATGGTGTAACTGACTGGTGAGGTAAACAAATATGAAGAAGACGGCTTCATCTCAGGGGGGGGGATTGCACCCCCTCCCCCAAGATCTGCCCCTGAGGGATATGACACTTTATGCTCCATTCTTTCTGATATCACTGAATGAAACAACTTTGTAGCTGTACAAAAGAAAGCAACTGTTAAATGAAAGAATTCAAAATGCCACAAAGATCGTTAGACTTATAACTCTTGGGCTCTTGATTTCAAAGGTATTGAGTGATTTTTGCAGTCTGTATGAAATGTATTTACAACAACTGTGTACACAGTCAGAACTCTTCTTGGACCACTCATTCCCAAACAAACAGGTCTAGTTAGGTCACCATTGCAAAACTCAGTTTGAGATGACAGTTGTAATTTGTAATTTTTTAGCTCTTGCAAGTGACTACATGTATTCCTAGACTGGCCTTTCCTTAGTTTTGTTTGTTATTAGTGACCACTCAATGATTATCATTCTTATTGGTCAATACTTAATATATAATATATGCAATTTGTCTTGATCACCCTGTCACTATATGGTATATACATAATGATATTCATTAGCCCAAAACATATGACACACACAGAGCAGTGACAAAAATGGACACAGTATTATCTGTCAGACCATTAGTTTACAGGATTATTGTTCCACTGCAACATTTCTGTGTCGTTCAGTTGATATTGTTTTATTCACTCAGGGTTTGGCCCTTTTTGTGTACTTTTCTCTCAGCAATTTACTGGTCAAGACAGTTTGATAAATTTTTATACAGTCAAACCTCTATTTTGCGGCCACCACCCCCTTATTAACTTGCCAGTTATCAAAGTCCCAAAATTATTGTCAATAACATGCTTCAAATAAAACCCCTGTTAAACGGCCACCTTTTTTAAGTCGCAGCGGCCACCTTTTGGTCGTCCTGAGGAGGGTTTTCTATTGTCCTGAGCTCCTAATAAGCGACCGCCTTAAATTTATTACATGCAGTTTTGGTTTGTTTTCAAAAAGGCTATGTCAGGTAAGACTGAAATAGAAAATGACCACTGGTAGAAACATTCAAACACAACACGCCCGTGAAGCAATATTAAACCTGATGGTAAAAAATTATTCAAAGCACACAAAACCCTATCATGCAGCCAGTTCCTATTTCCCAGAGGATGGCTGCTTAATAGGGGTTTGACTGTACGCTTAAATATGCTGTATAGATGCAGACATTTATGTGGAGTTACTTTATGTAATAAAATCATTCAATCTTTTTGTTTACTCTTGGATTTTAGCTTCAAGACTCCACAGCCAACTTGAATGAGCTCAATCTCGAGTTGTCCCGTACCAGAGGCAAAGCAATGAATCTTAAACAGCGGGCAGTGGGTGATTCTTTTCCTGCAAAACAAAAGGATGAAGAGACAAGAGTAATGAACAAACAAATCAGCGAGCTGGAGAAAACTCTATACGAAGGCATGTCTGAAGTGAAGAGGGATCAAGATTCTATGAAGAAAGCCCTTAACAGACAGAAGACTTTGGTATACAAAGCACGTCAGGAGCGACCTTTAGTTGGGCACAGTTAAGAATACAATGGTTTATTTGGAAAAAAAAGAAGTCAAGTGTTATCTGTTGGAAATCAGTAAATATGGTGGTCAATTTTAGCATTTTGCATTTAACATGTTAACAAAAAACTTCTTAGCCTGTTAATTTATCTCTTGAGGAAACACGGGGATGAGAAACTCAAACAGAAAAGACTTGTATCAAATTGATATTGTATCTATTATTACAGATACTCCTGTAGCATATGCTGACTATATTTAACATTACTTTATAGATTTGGAACTGGGATACTTTATGAGTAAAACTTTGATCCACTCTTGTTATTACACAAAGTACCTTCCGTTTGGAACCTTTGAGGTGAAATTAAGGTGAAAATGAAATATCAAACAAAACAGTTGTTGCCTAATTTTTCCTTCAGCCTATATTGCCATATTGTGGAGGCACAGTGGCCTCATAGGTAGTGCGCTCGTCCCGGATCGAACGTTTCGGGTTCGAGCCCTGGCCATGGACACTGTGTTGTGTTCTTGGGTAAGACACTTAACTCTCACAGTACCTCTCTCCACCCAGGAGTATAAAAGGGTACCGACAAATTGTTGGGGAAACCTAACAAATTGCGGGGGAGTGACCTGCGATGGACTAGGATCTCGTCCAGGGGGAGTAGAAATACTCCTAGCCGCTTCATGCTACAGAAACCGGGATAAGTTCCGGCAGCTATAAGCCAGTCGGCTCCAACGCTTCACTTTTTATATTGCCATATTGGTGTCTCCAAACAATAGGTTTGCACAGAAAAGAATTCGTTTCCCAAAGGAAGGAAATTTTTTCATTTGGAAACACCAATGCCGTGCCAATCAATGCGGGCTCTTCAATTCTTAATGAAAATAAGAGTTATGAGGGCTCGAGCTGGATCCAAGTTTGTACCTAAATCAACCTTTTAGGTAGATGTCCGAAATCACTTACGCACGAGCCGCCCGCCTGATGGAGGGACCGATTGAAATGTATGGGAAACGTATTCTGCCGCTCCTTCGTTCCCAAGCATTTGCCTTAATAATTTTGCTACCTGTTTTTCCCACAAACAAGAGAGGCTCGGGAACATGCTACGAAGCTCTACGAATTGCTGACTTAAAAAAATTACCTTCAAACGGAGCAGAGTTGTGAAAGCACTTGCCTGCCATCCATACGGCCCAAGTTCCAGAGAGCAGTTCTCTGTTGTCTGAGAGACCCTGCTATGGGTGTAACCAATATGGAAAAAGGTGATACGAAAATAGTTTGTTAGGGGAAAAACGTTCGACCTCAATTACGAGATGGGATTCGAAAAATAAATAAATTAAAAAAACGAGGCACTCGTAATTTAAACTGAAGCATCTTGAACTATAGCTCGAAAACGACACCCACTGACTAACTCACTTATCTTCATCGTGCCGTGCAGTATAAGCTTTAATAAACACTGAGATATTTCTTTTTTTGTATTCTTTATTATGGGTAACATGACTCACGTACAATACTGTGTTCAACATAGCAACTCAGTACAATTTACTTCTTCACTTTGTGAACACAATCAAAACCTTTTTTACATAAAAGGAACACTAAACTGGTTGATTGATTTGAAGACACTATCTTAAGACATATTTACAAAAACATTTAGTCTGAAAGAGGAATGATTGTGTAATTAATCGAACTTTCCCATAATTTATTCAATCAGTAACACACTCATTCTTCTTTGATTAAAGTCAGTAACAAGTTCTTAATGCTGGTATCATAAACCATAGATTCCTCTCGTGTTAGTGTCACTCGTTAAAAAAATAATTAGATTATAGCTTGTTTACATAATACGAAAATTTCAACCAGTTTGCGTATTATACAGCCTTAACCATGAGGGCATTACACTTAGGAAAATTCCTTTCAAGCTAGTAAGTCAATTATAAGAAGAACTTGTTCTCCAAGTCCAAGGTCACAATAACCATCAGCCTGAGAATCGGAATCCAAGTCATCAGAAAAATAAGAAACTTCGGGCTCAAGCTGCTGTTGTTCCATCGTCGGCTGATTTGTTGATTTTGAGTGATCAGTCTCAGCAACTGCTGACATCTGCTGTTTAATAATACCAAAGCACTGGTTCGTGTCAAGCGGTTCACATTCCATTTCTTGTGGAAGGTCGTTATAGATTGATGCGCCACGTTGCATACAACATTGCTCAGTCTCTGGTGCCATACACGCTGTAACTGGTTTCATAACAGATTGCGTCAATCCTTGATCAGCAATCGGTGTCTTCATTAACATATGTTTCTCCTGTAACATTCCCATTGTAGACGATGATGGCCTCTTGGCATCTCTCTCCTCGACTGGAATCGCTTCGGGTGTACATGCATTAGCTAGCTTGTGGGTGGTTTCCATTGTTTCAAGCTGATGAGCATTAGAGGGTGTGGTCAGTAATGGCTCTTGATCTGTCTCCATCATCTCTTCAGTTGGCGGTGCAAGGAATGGCTGACTGACAAAATTTGCCCACACTCCAAATGAGCTGTCGTCTACTGAAGCAGACTCATGGTTTGTCTCCATTGCCTCAGTTTGGACATCGCCAGACAAAATCTCATTTTGGCATTGCTCTTGATCTAATTCCATCGGCCCCATCAGTTCAATGAAACTTGCATTTGCGATCTCTGATTGCTGCTTTGCTTCCGCTGGTTCACCAGATGAAATTGTCACCGCACATTGCTCTCCGTCTGTTTCCATTACCTCTGGATGGCCAGTGGACAGACGTTCCACACTCAGCGCACTCTTGACTACCTCTATCAACTGAGGCTCCTTTGCTATAGCTTCCTCTGGCTGTCTTACGTCTCGGTGTGCTTGCCTTCCCACAAACTCAGTTGGTGCGGCCTTTGAATTGACATATATGCTTCTTTCGGTGTTCCGTTTTCCTGTAATGTTACTAGCCACCTCTATAGCTACGTTCAAAGAAACATCTCTCGCCACCTGCGACATATTCTGCGTCCTGTCAATAGAAGCATGGTCGTCCCAGCAACTGATTTGCTCAAACTCTTCCTCGTTCTTTGCCTGCTTTACTGCAGGGGTTGTTGGCTCCACCAAAACCTGTCCCTTAGGTGACGATTTTCCATCAGTCTCACGAGAAGCGATGCCTTGTGAATCTCCAGTTACATTAGTAGAACGCACTTGACTTGAATGTGTGACTCCTGACGATGAATGTTCTTGATCCTTTACTTTACCAGGAGCCCGGATTTCATGGTGTACATAGCGTGATGGAGATGGAATGTCTTTCCCTTTTGTCTTTTCTTCAAGTGCTGGAGTTGGTGCGAAAACATCCGTATGTGCGGATGAGATTAAACGTGATTTTACTTTCGGTTTAGCTTTCTTCTCCGTCCCAGGAACCCTGGTAGCAAAATCATTTTTGGAGAGCGTAGTTGAATGTGGTCCGTTTGTTTTCCATCTAGTTGTTAATTCACTCTTTGCCTGCGCTTGTTGGACAACAGTTGGTAGAGCGGATGATTGTTCTTTTTCAAGGCCGGAAGAACTCGGCAAAGGACTGCATGGCAAGTCTTTCGAGCCTGATGAGGAAAATCGTATGTGGGGACTCTCTATGAACGGGGCAGCTTCTTCTCCTTTTAGGTACGCTATGAATGCGGGCTCCGTGTAGGGTAGCACCTCCATGCTATCTTGGTGAATATCATTGAACTGCTCCAGTTCTCGTTGAACGTATGCATAAACTATCCTCGGCATGAATAACAGCGCATCCACCATAGCGTTAACAATACGACAAAAATGGAAGTAAAAGCCGCTTCTTCTCTTCGACTCTTTTGAAGCTGAAGCGTGTTTGCAACAGCACATGTTACGGTCACCAGCAAGAGTTGTTTGGACATTAATGTTAGCTGGTACTTGTCCAGGAACATCAAAAGTTGAGGTCGGGCTAGGACTGTCTGGTGTACGGACAGTGTCAATGGGGCCTTTCAAAACAAGTTCTTCAACTGGCGGCGGCTGTATTTTAATCTTGCGCTGGTTTCTTTTCTTGCCAGTTGATTTGTTTTTCTTGATTTTGTACGTGCGCTTGTTGGTTTGTTGAGCTGTTTTCTTGACGCGACGATCTTCAGCAGTTTTCGTTGTTTTTTGCCGATAGCCCTTACCAGGTACTTGGTCCTCGTCTTTTATGTACGCTGTAAACGCGGGATCCGTCTGCTGCTGGAGCGTCTTGTTATCTCCGTGAATCTCATTAAACTTCTTCAACTTACTTTGAACGAAATCGTAAACTTTCTGTTTCAAATATACCACCGCATTTTTCAAAACAGTGATCATGAGAAAAGGAATAAAGAGACAAATGATAACAAACACATTGCGAAGGACAGACCTCTCGCTTCTCGTCTTTGAATCCATCTGTCTCGAAATCTCTTTCTCGTTTGTGATGATTTCCATTTCGTTTGTTTCGTCATTTGCCTTGCGCGCGCGTGCAGTAACGCGCGCGTCGAAGCCCGCGCTTATTCGCACTGATGGTTTTTTTTTTTTTTTTTTTTTTTNGAAAGTTCTTATTGGCTCGCTGAGCGGTATGAATGGTCGGAATTGGCGGGCTGCTATTATGGATACTCTCGACTTGCTTTCTAAAAACATTGCAGAAAAGAAAACAGATTTGTTGAGGAGTAAAGTTCGTTTGTCCATTATATTTGGCGGACAATTTGAGTTTTACAACTACTTTCAAAGCGAGTTGAAAAACGTAAACCCCAACTTATACCTCTATTTAGCTCAAGGGGTGGGGGTGAGGGGGGCGGGGCAAAGTACTCGCGCTGATTTTGATCTTTTCTTTCAAAAACCAGCAATAGGTCGCAAAACAGTCAAAAAGTGCCGCCAGGCTGAGGGACGGAAACAAAAGCCCACGCTGAAGAGTATACTATATTCTGGAACCCAACTGTCAGTAAGAGAGGTACAAAAAGACTACGAAACATCTGAAAGAGGGTCACCACAAAAAGTACCATCAAGTCCATAAGGTACAACTGGCCACAGCTTTAACATTTATTCGCACATTTATCCAGTCCCCACTCCCCCCACTATCCACAGACGTGACCGTAGTTCGCTTTTATCGCATCGCGCCCTGGGTTCGAGGAAATGCATGAGTACCCTACGTCACGTGACAACTTTCTATCAAATTTTGCTCGATCATGGCGGCTGCAACTTTCCGCTTCGGCATGGTGTTTTACGGGGTCGTTTTGATGATGCTGGTTTTGTGCAACAGTGGTAAGTGTGTATGTGATATTTTTTGTTAGTATTTGGTATTTATGAGCTGCGCTGCGTGGGATAAAACTTCTGATCAATCTGCAAAAAGTATTAAACGAACACCTCGATTCGATTAGCAATTCTGATGTGTCGAGTGGTGTCAGCGCCGGTGAAAAGAACCCCAATCGTGATCATGCAGCCGGATTTCTTCTGTAGATTTTCTACTTTTATTGCTTGATAATTCGTGGTAGCGCTTTCGTCTGTCAAGTGTTGTTGCTGAGCTCTTTTGTTATCGACTGTATTCAGAATTCAAAACATCCAGCCTGGTCAATAATTTGCAATTTAAGCACAATGACCGTAAATTATGTGGTCAGATCCACTAATACAGAATTCTTCCTGAAATTTCGGAAGATTTGGATCATTTCGAGGGAGAAACCAGAATTAATGCTTTATAGAGTTCAAAATTTCAAATAATTATTTATCTGTTGTATAATCTAATGACTTACCGAAACACAAATTCGAGCAAGAATATTTCGGTTTATCGTGAACTCATCAAGGAGACAGTTTTTGTTGCTAAACATTGACGTCACATTCGATCACGTGCACCAAAACACTCTTGAGCATGGCCTGTTTAGTGAGTAGCAATTGAGGTTGCGAGTGGGTGAAATCTTTAGCTTATGGTCAAATTTCCAACATGATTTTATATGTGTCAGTACTCAAATTACCAGTGAAGCATGCATATATTGCTCTAGGTAATGCTGAAAGCCTCAAAATCCTGAAATCCTGTAGTCCTGTCCCCAGTACTCACTTGTCTTCTGGTCAGCATCAAGAATTGCCAAAGTGTAATATTTTGGAAGTCTAATACCTGTATGAAGACACAGATGATACTGTCACTACTATGTGATGTGACTCCAGCATATGATCTGGGTTTTAAGTCCAATTTTCAACAAAGTGTAGAAGAAAAATAATTTTTAGCACATATAAAGAGTTCTCTCTAGTTCTCATGATCACTGGACAAAACGTGGTTCAGTGTTACAGCAGGGTAATATTAAGGGTAACTGATTAATTTCTTTTCATATTTGCAAGCTAATCATAACTATTTAAGTAACAAAATTCTTAAATCTGATTGGTTCTTAGCATCTAAGGTGCCCAATAATTAAGTGTCCAGATTATAACAAGTTGTCCAATAACAAAATCCATGTGCTGTGTGTGCATTGTTTGGTTCCTTCTCAACATTGTGTAGTTCCAGGAAATATCCATACCCCCACCCGGAGTCGGAATTTCACATAAGCCCCTCCGTCCTCCCTGGAATTTCCATTTTTTAAACGCAAAAATAACCTCCTCCACCACCCCTCTGGAATTTCCACAAGTATTATGTAATGCCCCCATACCCCCTTAAAAAAATAGTTTTGGTAAGAAAGTGTGTTAATTAAAAAGTTAAAAGTTAAAGTAAACACTCCAAACACTTAACCGTCTGGATTGTGGTTCACTGCTGTTTATTTTTGATCATAACATCTGAAGATACACACAAAGAAAATATACAGCAATTTATTTAAACATGCTTTAAAAGAAAATAGGTAAAATGGTTACTTGTCAAATTACTTTCCTACAAGACTGAGACTGATGAGTGTAGTTCGTAGGAGTTTGTATAAAAAAATAGTTTGCGGAAAACTCTGGAGAAAGCAATGCCTGTGGAAAATTTAACATTCTGGTGAAAAATGAGTGTGGATGAAAATGACACCATACTTTTATTGTGAACACGATCGCTAACACACTCGCCACAAAGCCCACTTTTACAGCAAAATTACATGCTAATGGCGGAAATAAACAAGAATAAGAAATTCTCAAGTTTGTGAAATCGTAACATCATTTCTTCCTTTATAAAGAAAGTAATTTTCACAAAAGAAATTTACTGCCATTCGACAGCTTTGAAGACCGATGCAAAAACAAACTAGGCTAGTTACCAGCGCTTTTCAGTCCACAAGATGACTCCATGTAGACTGGTAACAAGTAATGGCGGCTACTTCCACATTCTTCACATTTGTTAGCTTTCAAAGTGCTTTTTAAAGAAAGAAAACTTATTTCAAATATAATGCAATTGAAATACAAGTATTCAAGCTACTATTCTTTTATGTGAAAGATCTACATAGCAGGGTAGAAAAGATTTGTTGACAGGGAGAGCGATCCTTGAATCCATATTGAATCAAAGGGCATCTAGAAACTAAATTGACCGTCAAACCCCATCCCCTTCAGAATTTCCTGGGTCTATGACCCCCACCCCCCATCCCTCTGGAATTTCCCATTCCCTATGTGGTGGGGGTATGGGTATTTTCTGGAACCACACATTTTGAAAAACCTTTAGTCACAGAGATGCCTTTTACTTAGTTAATTTTTCACCAGAATGTTAAATTTTCAACAGCCATTGCTTTCTCCAGAGTTTTCTTCAAACTATTTTTTATACAAGTTTATGATTAATCGGTAGCCACACTTACAGTCTAATTGTGTCTGTAATAATAGTCATTTACAGGAACATTGCCAGAAAAACGTTACGACTGATGCAATGTCCTTGTTTAAATTCTCATTTACTTTCTTTTCTTTTTGTAATTGTTCCCACAGCATGCCTTGTTCTCCCAAACTTCCACTCATGCCTCTATAACTCGACAGAAACATGGAACCTTATAAACCATGAAATACTTGAAACATTTCTGGATTGTTTGTTGTGTTGTCAGTCCAATCAGAGTCAAGAGGAAACTCCATATCTGGAGTAAATCACTAACTGTGACAACTGAATATTATTTGTGTGACACTTGCTCAGTCTGAAAGCTTTTTCAAATCATCATAAATCATAACTAAACATTTAGTCCTTAATCTTAATTTAGACAGCTACACTACAGTTCTTAGGGCTTCATTTTTTCCTCTTATAAGTGTTTCTGAAGGCATAAGTGAAGAGTGACTTGAACATAAGTCTTATTGTCACACTGTTTTGAAGGTCACAGCCTGCAATGAAAGCCCCAAACTTGAATCAGCATTTAATTTGTAGTGAGCTCACTATGTATAATATTCAACCCACTACCAGATACAGTGACAGGTGAAAATGCTGCAACGTCTACTACTGCTAGTAGTACTAAACCAACACCAACCACCAAGAACAACAGCATATCATCGACAACAGTACCACCAACTACTAAACACAATCCCACAACAGTATCAACTGCAAAACCAAAGAGTACAGTGTTGCCGACTTCTAGTAATCATAGCACAGCAGTACCAACTTCAAATGGAACTAAAAGCACACCAACTTCAAATGGAACTAAAAGCACACCAACATCAAATGGAACAAGCACAGCAACACCAACTGCACATGGAAATCATAGCACAACAGTGAGCTCTACTAATATGAGTCCTACACCAACACCAGAAGGTAAGTAGCAAAGACGTTTGATACGTAGTTGATTTTATAGTATTACACTGCAAAACCTTACTGCATGTAATCCTGGGTGTACATGTAATTAGTGCACATGTATTGTTCAAACTGAGCATTACATTGATCTGCAACATGTACATTTAATGTGTACATATGGCACAGTTTTCACCCAAGTGTCAAGAGCAATTTTGTCTTTGCTTTACGTTTGCATTACCATGCTTAGCATCTGCCTTAAAAAAAGCGGTGCACACCACTGACTTTTTGTCATTTAGTGATTTAATCGCAACCAATTTTGACTTGCACATGTTTTCCTGTCCTTCACATCACCTACATGCATTATATATATATATATAATATAATATAATATAATATAGTATAGTATAGTATAGTATAGTATAGTATAGTATAGTATAGTATAGTATAGTATAGTATAGTATAGTATAGTATAGTATAGTATAGTATAGTATATATATATATCACTCAGGTTAGCCTGAGTAGTGTTCCAGTTAGCCTGAATATGATTATCACTGAGGGATAGCCTGTTTGTAGCTCTCAGTAATGGAAATGGGAAATCAATACCATATCGATACCATATCTGCAGAGTGCAGTCATCTGGTTTCACTTGCCAACTATCATGATTAGAGCAGCATTAATGATTATTTTTAGACAAGTTCATATGTTCTAGTTTTTTTATCTATTAATTACTGTTTTTATTTTCTTACTGTTTATTATTCCTTATGATACATGTGTGGTTTAGAAGACCTGCTAGTACATTTAAGACTGAGAGCTGTTCTAGTTCATATGAAAATGAGTAGTTTAAGTACACTCTCACATGTGCATGCATAACTTACACTGTAACTTTACATAATTATGGGTTATTGAGCAAGCTTGTTCAGTCAAGATGGCTTGATACTGGCCAAGTTCTTTTTTTCCATGTTTATGGACCAAGACGAAGTCGAGGTCCATAAACATGCAAAAGAAAAAAAACAAAAGAACAAGGCCAATATCAGGCCAACATGACCGAGCAAATGTGGTCAATAAGGGATTTATTATATGGCTTTTGGGGAAATTTTCCTGGCAGGACACAGTGGGAAGTCCCGAGTGGGCAAGACAGCTCCATCTTGCCTGCTCAGGTAGCCAATCACAGTGCAGGATTTCATTCATATTACCCCACTCACGGAGCCAGCCATATAATAATGTGCCTTAAAGGAAACCTCTAGTGATAATGGACCACCTTGTTGATGCATTATTGACAATATGTAATATCTAGTCAAAGCTGAAATTTGTTGAAGTTCTTTTTTAAAAGCAATAGTTTGAGAAACATGACCTTGTTTGTGTTTCAGGGCATGGTACTGACCGTGGCAAGTGGGTGGCCACAGGTTTTGCTGTCGCCTTTTTCATTACAACCATTGTAATGACAGTGCTATATTGCCGGCAGCGCAAGATTTACCGCGAGCTGGAGGGTGACAGTTCACTGTCCCGGCTGATTTAGAGGAACTCGGGGGCTGGAAGTGAAGTTAATAATGTTTTGTAACAGTAGTGTAGTTACTTTACAAAAACCTGTTATTGTCACTTTTGATTACAAACAAAATGAATGGTTTGCAAATTGTTTTAAGCCATTTGGCCACCAACATGCCAGCTCTTGAGTGTGGGCTATGTATATGTATGCATAAAGTGTAACCATTCAAAAGGTATAAAGTGGCACTTTCAGACAATTCTTTATTTTCACTCTCTTTTATCCTCTTCTCTTTTCTTTTTCTTTTTCTTTCTGTTTTTTTTTTTTCTTGTCTCTGTAGTTTTTTTCTTTCTTTTCCCTTTCTCATTGTAATTAATGAATGTTGATAAGCAAGCTGGACACAGATTTCAAAGTATGCTGTTATTGGTATTCCCAGCCAACACGAGGCCTGTCCAAGGCTAGCCTCTTGCCCTGACTTTAGTTGCTCTCTGTTGAGGACAGCTACCAAAACTAAGATCAAGCAGAGGTTAGAATAGAGAGCAGTTAAGATGCTTGATAGAAATTGCTAATGGACAAGGTCGAAAATGTGCCCTCATGTTCTTGATCTTGGCCAATTGAGTCCCCTATGAAGTATTTCATGTTTGAGTGGTTTAACTCTATTTTCTTTGTCTTAAAACAACTTTTCCTAACTTTCATGTGTAGAGGTAAGTCTGAGCACCTTTTT